TTCAGTATTTTGTTCTTTCGTTGCCATTTTTTGTTGCTCAGATTCTGGTCGTTTTGGAACATTTTCACTTTGTTGGTATTATGCTTGGAGACTTACTCACAGAATACAGTCTTCTGTGTATGGTGCTCTTGGTTTGGAAGCATTCTGCCGACCTGGCAATTTTGCCAACTTTGGGAAAGTTGGGCATCATGTGGGTGGGCATCATGGGCCAATTTTCTTCACCTGCCCTCAACCCCACGTCCGGTGCACCATCGCAAACCCCAGCCCATGACAGGAGCCGGGGGCCCTCTCCTAACAAACGCTCAGGGGGAAGGCGGAAAAAATCTGCCTGTGACACCCACCCACAGGTCACAGCCCCAAAAGTTGCCAGTATGGCAAGTCATGCAGCAGGGCTTTCAACGGTGCACTAGAAGCGGTGTTGGAGGAAGGCACAGAAAATGGGCCTGCAACGTCCCCCTGCAGGCCATGGCCCCAAAAGGGGTTCAAAGCACGAGGTGGGTGGAATGCTTCAAAATTCACAGCGCTTGCTAGGGGAGGGCCCATGAGACTCATCCTGCACCAGCTTTTGACGGTGCACTGGACGTGGTGTCAGGGGAAGGCTGAGAAAATCAGCCCATGATGCTCACTTGCAGGTCACGGCCTCGAAAGTCTCCAAAACGGGGTCAGTGGAATGCTTTGAAATACACAGCATTTGCTAGAGGGGGTTGACAATGATCTGGGCTATTAAAGATGCCCATCTGCAGATCATGGCCCTGAAAGTGGCCAAATTTGGCAGGTCAGCAGAATGCTTCAAAATTTCCACCATTGCCTAAGGGAGGGCCCCCAGTACCTGTCATGCCTCGGGGCTTTCGATGCTACACAGGAAGTAGTGTCAGGGGAAGGTGGATAAAATCGGCCAGCCCTGCAGCATTGGAAGCCCCAATGCAAACCGTGTCTTGGGGGCCATCTCTTGAATTGGCCTACCTGGCCATTTTTCCACTTTGGAGGCCGTGACCCGTGGGTGGGTGTCTTGGGCTGATTTTCTCCACCTTCTCCCCTCCCACTTCCAGTGTACCATCAAAAGCCCCAATGCCCAATGGGTCTCAGAAGCCCTCTCCTATCAAACGCATTCTGTCACCTTGCCAATTTTGGCCACCTCAGTGGTCCCCGAGGTTGTTTTCCTGTTTTTGCTGGCCCCCAGCTTTGCAAAAATTGGAAAGCCCTTAAGGATTTTATGTGGATGCTCTATCTAAAAGACGTGAAGTCTATTGTCTAAGTAGTCTCTGACTTTCTCCACTTGACTGACTGCCTCTGGTATTGCTGCGTGGTTTTAGGCCCTCAGCTTCTGGTGTTGGTATGCGTTAGGGCTAGGCTTGGCCTCCTCTTTAGATTCTGTGGGGAAAGTAACTCATATGGTCCTCATGTGCCTCTTCCCATGGGTACTGGTATAGTTTCTCTGGAGACACTACGAGTGCTTGCGGTACAGTCCTTGGACTCCCTGGTCTCAAAGTCATCAAATGAGTCACCCTGGTGTATGTCAGACAGGATGCCTGGGAACTTGAGGCTTTCCCACTTGCCGGGGAGTGAGCTCCACTGAACCCAACTGAACTTGCTTCTGATGCATAGGCTTGTGCTGCAAGTGACACATTTTGAGCAGGTATTTTTTGGGGAAATCTCTCCACAAAGTCCGATATTGGCAGCTAATGAAGAAAGCTGTATCTCTGGGCTGATATTCACAGAGGCCCCTGGAGGCCCCTTGGTGTTGCTTGACTGAGCAAGATAAAGGGAGAAAAAAATCCATCCATCATATTTTTGATAAAATGTGGTGGGAGGTCAACTAAGATGGTGCTCCTCATGTGGATAGGCATTTACTATCATATAATACTCCTTTGCATGACAGTTTTTAAGAGGAGCCAAGACAGCTTTATATTGGATTTTCTTCTTATCTTGACCAGCTTTCAGATGACTTTGCTTCAGTTGGTTGAAGATTGTCTGAAAGCAATAATACTAAGTTTAAAAATCTGAAATGATTTGCAGAGTTATAGCGCTTCCTCTTCCATCTGAATCTAGCAAACCGATTAAATTTGAATCATGATCTCTGCTCCCCTCTTATGCATCCTGTACCCTCTCCTGGCTGGGAAGGTGCAACGGGATGTCCGCGAACATTCTTGAGTTCCTCTTGGCTCAGCTCACTTTGCAGGACCAGGCCAAGCTCGAGAGGAAGTCTACAAATTCTGGGGGGACAGATTCCTAAAGTGTTTGTTCCGATCCAACTTAAATACATTCAGGGACAGTACCATACACCAGATCTCTTCCTCATGAACCGCAATTAGTTATTACAATTCCCTGCAAAAAGAAAGATGGAACATATTTCACCTAGTGAGTTCTGATATTGTATGCCCTGTGAAGTTTAGATAAAACTTAGCTTCTTGTGAGCGTTCCCTATTCGCTTTTGTCTGTTCTGTAATTATTGTTGCCCCTCCACCCGCTGTTTAATGTTGCATTACAAATGGTTGCTTCTGTTATTCAATGGATTATTTCTGGTCTTATGTTAACAGCTGTTTTTCTATGATTACTCTTTTGTGTACCATTGGTCTATATGTTTGTAGATTATTTGGCTATTTTGTTGTTGCAAGCCACAATGAGTTCTTTTTTTAAAAAAATAGGTGGGATACTAGCATTATCATCATTAATATTAATATTAGGTTGTCCCAATGATGTTCAAAAGAACAATAATCTTTTCATATGAAAGACATAAATTTTATGCTAGATTGTCCCTTTTTCTTTTGTTTGTCAAGCTCTTTCCTTTCACTGAATAGCACTATTGTATGCATGTCTGCACAGAATTAACACAGAAATAAACCCAGAGAGCTTTGGTTATGGGTGGTATAGAAACGTAATGCAATAACAACAGTAACTCTGACTGAGTGGATTTGCACTGAGTCTTGTATTTCTATAGCTGGGAGTAAGACCCAGCACATTCAGAGCATTTAAATGAACACTATTTTAAATCCAAATTAAGCAGCTATATGTTATAGTATTGTTACTCTACAATGGATGCAGGGTCACAAATCCAGACCAGGATTCTACTATGTGTTAGTGGGGCTTTTAAGACCTGGATTATGTGCTATGCACCTACTTTAGAATAAAAATGGTGTAGCTGCTATAATAAAGGTAGAATAGACATTTACATAACATATATTTTGGCCCCAGTAGGTCTTACGTCTAAGTAGAGGCTTGCACTGTTAGTAATGTACTGCATTTATGTAATTGAGTTAATAACTTCCTGGTTTAAATTATGAAATCATATGCTGGAACGGATGGGAAATGAGTACATTGTCACTTGGACAAAACCATTTTATTTTCGGGGTTAGGGTTTGGGTTAGATCTCTGAAAGCTAGGAAATACACTGTTCAAACTATCTCCATTTATCTAGTTGGTTTGTTCTTTTAATCCATGGAACTGTTTTGCCAAGATTAACAATGAAATATGTTGTCATTGGTTCCTCCACACCCAACTGTCAATGAAACCTCTGAACTGTGAGAACTTTGCTAATGAATATTTTGGCTTCATCTGAATAGTATTTCATCTAGCAAATGTTACCGATTTTCAGCTTGAGATAGTTGGAACAACTTTCCTTGAACTATCAAATGTTGTGAACTGATCTGTAGTAATATTTACATACTTTTCTGTGTATGTGACTTACAGCTATAGCAAAGGCGATAGGGTAGAGCTCATCCTTTCTTGCTGTGCTGCAGCCTGGATCTAGATTTCCTCAAATTTCTGCTATTAACCACAGGGGGGGGAACATGCAGGCTTGACTTGTACAAAAACAAAGCAACTGCTTTTATAATTCTCGCCATTTAGCCCTAAGGCCTGCTTCACACAACAAATTAAGTGGTAAACCTGTGCCTGGACTATACCACTGCGACTGCATGTATGAACAGTGAGCCGATTATGGTGTTGTGTATGGTACAGCGGGTGCCAACCTCATGGTGTTTCAGCACCTATTACAATGTACTTGTTAAAAGACCTGACTAGCTTGCCTTTCATCTTTTAACCAAGACTTTGGCTACCTTATCAGCATTTGGGTGCTCTGAGCCAGAACTTTATTGGCATCTATTTCAATGAAGGGCAATATATAAATATTTACTTTCAAGTGCAGTCAGCCTGTCTCAGAGATCTCCAGTCTCATCCTTACTGTTCTGATTTCCAGCCATGGGAGTGCTCCCAGCCTTGATGCAAAAGCCACAATGTTCTTGTTTACAGGAGTGGGTAAATTTTCTTGATCTTTTATTTGAACTTCCCACAAAATCTACCAGTCAGACATACATTTTTATTTTCAACACAGGGACTGAGTTATCAGTCCTGACATGCCTTCTGCAAACCCGCCAAAAATTATATCTACTCTGTGGACATAAACTTGTTAAATTCCTGCTCTCTTGGGGAAATGAAGCTCTTTGTAAAAAGGGATGAAATGGGGAGCATTCTCTTCAAACACACCAAATTACCCATTCTGGGATTCTCTGAGAGAAGCCATGACAATTAGGTGTGAAGTTTTTAAATATTTGTAGCACATATTTCTCCTTTGTGACAAGTGCTCCCAGCCAAATTCATGGGCAGCCTCTATCTGTGCACACATTACATTATAAGCTTCGGTTAGCTACAGCGAATCAAATTTCTTTTGGAAAGGTCAATTTGAAACACTCTGAAAAGGGGAAAAGATTGATTCCTTTTGTATTATTGTGTTATCGTTTAAAGATTTATTTCTTTTACTGGAATTCTATTGCTTAGACTGCTTATCCACATCATATAACTATAGAAATATTTAGATACTGATGTTGCAGACAAAAATAATGCGTTGATTTCAGATAGGTATGCCATTGTATTTCTAATTTTCTTTCTGGTACTGTTCTAGTTCCCCTGCTCCCCAAAACAATAATTCCAGTAATTTTACTCCATAATAGTTCTTTTCATAGGTTTTCAAATTTCAGTGTAGTACAAAAGAGATACATCTTGAATAGTTTATATTGTTGCAACTTTTAATGTAACATACAATTGATTCTCATTCTGAAAGCACTTTACAAAAATTAAGTCAGAGAAATATATAAATGCATATAGCCTTGATAACTTTAGCAATATATACAAAATTTTACACATACACACATATATACACACATGTATTTTACAGGTAATAAATAGGAACTTTCAAAGATATATTTTCTCACATATAAAAATCCTTCACCATTTGGCAATCAAGTGCTGTGGTTTGTTTGATCATGTATTATAATGTGCAATTCATAATGCAACTTAATTCTAAAGTAGGAGAACTCAAATGGAAATCAAAAATTAACTATGGGTCATTTTTACAGATCTCCTTCAGTGCCGAGTTATAAACTTGAAATTATCGTGCCTGAACTTTGTGTGGTTGGAATGTTGGTTGCGCATTCTTGACTATTTTGAAAAATAAAGGATGCAGATTCCTGTGTGTTACACTTCTAAAATATTGGACTGTATGTTACATACACACACTTCGTGATGAATCATTTGCTACAATAAGCGCTGAATGGCAGTTAGCCAAACAGATACAGAAGGCCAATAGATAAATTCTGGCATGCTCACTTTCATGTTTTTGCACAAATACAACTCTGTTACTTAAGTGTACAACTTATTAAAATACTACACACATGATATATTGAAACTTTGCAAGTTTTGGTTTCTGGTTAAAATGGTAAGGCAACTAGTGAATTATTTTTATCATGTTAACAAGTCTAAAAATCCTTTTAATATTTCTTCCATGTGTTCATGACTGATTCAAAGATTATCATGACTGCACTTATTGTGAAAGTGTGTATTTTTTTGCATTTTGCTAATTTTTATTGCATCAGACAAACTTTATTTTCAGGTTCCATCATTTACTGCTGAACAATTAATAGTTTCTATTCTTAACATCAGAAATACCAGTATCAGAAAGAGGAGGTCCTTCATGTTGAGATTTGGATTTATGGAAGTAATAGTGAACTCAGTAAGAATGGTTGTCCAAGGCTAGGTACGGTAATGTTGCAGCACTCTATCTGAAAAATATTATGGAAATGTAACTTCCCTGACACTCTTGAACAGGCAGTGGCTACTTTTTAGTGGTTGATGATTTGGTACAGTATCAGAGATTACTTTTTTTTTTTTTTTTAGTACTGATGCACTGGAAAGTGGTTGTTTCTCTTCTAGAAAATGTACTGTTATAGAACAACAGCATAGATTAGTAAGTGATTCCTAAAATCTAAGTATTTTCAAGAAAATAGCCTGGAATCTTTCAAAATCTGTAAAAAAACGCTCTGTTTATGTATAGGTAAGAGTTTTATCTTAGGAAGCATATGTTAAGTGAAGCCTATCTACCTAGCAATTTAAGAGAAAAACTGAGCTTCAGCCAGGAAAGGGTGCGAAAACAGATGAACCAACCAAATAAACATTGCCCAGCAAAATGCCGAGTTCTAAGTTATTTTTTAATCTTAGAAAGCCCAAACATGTTGCTTTTTAAATAAATAGTATTTTCACACACACATAAACACACACTTGTTATAAAAATCAAGAAATTTGTTAAAAGATGGCATGAGAACTGTTGTATGTTGGTCCCCATAATGTATCTGTGAACATTTTCTTGCTTTAAAAAACAAAACAAGACTGATATGTTGGCTAATGTCCCTTGTACGCTGAGATGATACAAATATACCCTGATTCAAATAAGAAGATATGCTTGTAGGAGTTGTCTTTTGTGTGCATGTCCCTTTCTTGATGGGATGCATCTGAATGCTCTTCTGAACTAGATTGCTTGCAGCTGGATGTACAATCAGCTTCATGTCCCCAACCCTATTTTGGTACCATCAGCTGAGAGGTGAATCGGTGCAAAACCACCCTAGAATAAGTACAGCCGACAATATTCCAGAAGTCTGATGAAATATTTCAATGTATTCGGTCCTGAGCAGTTTGCATACAGGGGATTCTGAACATCTTCATTCACTTTTAATCTTCAAAGAGCTTTTAGTCTTCTAAGGAAATGTGTTGTCTCTATGGGAAAAAAGGGGGAGACAATTTAGAAATTCAGTTGTTAACATTACTCTCTAGAAGCTATCATATAATCCAGTTAAAAATCTGAGGATGTACCTACATTTAAAAGAGCAGAATCCTATGCATGTTTGGGTAGAACAAAGTCATACATTTCCCCATGTTCCCCAGCCAACAAAGTACTTTTTTCTTCCTTAACATGCACAGAATTTCATCTTTAATCTGGATTAATGGTCTCCCTAAAAATCCTGGCACTGTAGCTAGAAACGTTTACACAGTTCAGTTCTTACAAAACTATATTCCCTGGTTTCTTTGGAGGCAGTCATATCATTTAAGCTGTATAAAAATGCTATGTGCAGTGCAATTCTGTCCATGGGGCTCTTTTACCAGAGTATTTATGGTTAAGATTTAATGGTTGCTCCGTAAGTTATTGCACTCTGCTGGCAAGATACACTTTCCCTTGACTAAGGCATCAGACTGAAAGTTTCTATAAACTTAATGTCTGCAAACAGAAGTGGAAGTTAAAAGGAAGAAAAGCATTCTGGGGATAGTGAACTGATACTTAATTATCTTGAAATGCATACTACAATTTCTTCCCATGTTAAAATGCTAGCATTTACACCAACATTTTATATCCTCTTTGCACAATTGTTAAAACTCTATAGGAAGAACACAAAATTCTGAAGTATAAAGGTAGAAAGGCACATTGCATAACTTAAATACAAGTTCATCAGTTAATATGAATGCAGGGGCTGAGGGGGCACAGCTTTTGCAAGGGAGGAAGAGCAGGCAGGTGGAGAGGGGCTTAATATTTCCCAGGATTACAGATTCTCTTGCAAACCCCTTCCAGGTTGTTTTCCTGCTGAGCTTAGCTTTTTCCTGTCTTGGAGTTTGGACCTGGGGTAGGTGGGGGAAACATTAAAAATGTGAATGTCATTTGCAGGGAAGAAATGGCAGATACAAAAGGCTCTTTAATTCTTACCATATCATCCATTTTCTCCTGCATAACTTTTATGAGGGAAACACTGGAAAACTTGTTTCCCCCACAACATGTTCAGCTGCAGCCTCAAAGACATATTTTAATTGTTTGAAAAAGGCCAGACACGCCTCCAGTGCTTAAGTCTGAGGCCTTGTTTGCATTAGGACTTCTTAAAAAGTATCAGCATAATATTGATGATCGTCTCTGGAACAGGTGAATATGAGGTGGAAACAGATTAAAAACTCAACTTATTTTCCACCTCATGTGACTGGCTGCCCTTGTGTTCCAAGTACTGCTAGCTCTTGGAATGTGTGGCATGCAGAGAAGGAAGACAGACCAGTCTACATCCTTCCATAATTCTCTAAAATCTGGAGTCATAAGATGTTCCAAAAAACCATAGCTTAGCAATTTTCCATTGCAGCTCAGATATTTCTTCAATGATTATCTTCATGGGTATAGCTTTAGCTATCTGGGTCTTTAGCGTTATTTATCTGATTTTGTTTTTTTAGCTTTGCCCTTCTATTCATTTATCTGTTTCATAGATTTATGCAGCTATCCATACCTTTGGAAAATGAATGACATTATTTTCAAAGCAGTATATTTTGTGAAATTAGTTCTCACCAATGTATGTCCAAGACAGAGATGCAGAATGTCTTAAAGGCTCCTTGCAAGAGACTCACAACATACTTCAAGTTTTACCTGCAAACACTCTCCCAGTGGGTAGGATGGGAAACGTGAACACAGAAAACCAGTGCTCACGTTTCTAGAAAACTAGAAAGACCCTAAGTAGTCCAAAGCATCAGGAGGACGCCATGTTGGGAAAGGCTGTCCTATTAACAGAACATACACCTGCTGCTGCCACGGGGAGCCCATCCTACAGTGAAGGGAAACCAGCAGGAGTGCCCCACATGCTTCTACTATTCACATCCTACTATTTGAGAAGATCAAGCATACCTTGCTCCCCTGGTGTGGTAACTGCAATGTTCTTACAAGGACTCTATATCATTCGGGTGTTTTCCAAGGCATCTCATAAATTCTACAAAATCGCCTCCTTTTTTGAGATCAGAGAATCCTTCAGGAGCACAGAACACCACCCTGCAACAGTATGCATGACATTTTTTAATCCTCTGATAAAGCAATTCATTATTGGCTATATCAAGTCTAAACCAGCATATATAATTGCAAAGTATATTTAAAAGCCAATTGTGTCTTTAGCAAACACAATTTTGTGCGAGTAGAATGCATTCTGATGATAGAAAAAGGAGGGTCCCTGAAGGATAGGTAGGTCACTGCTTTCGGTCCACTCTAATCCAGGCTAGTACTTGTCAGAATCGATCTAGAAATGCCCACAAAACCATTAATTCAGCTTTGAGATCTCATCTGCAAACTACAAACCAAGTTGTAAAAATATGATTGAGCTACCTATAGACATGCTGCTAAAGAGCTAAGCATGTGTAAAAGGATACATTTAGAAAACAGGCCAGAAAAAGTTAGCCATTTTGCAGATTGGATATACCAGTGAGCTATAATTTTCAACACACTGCTATTATTTTCTTTTGAATCTAACACAAGTAGAAGATTAGATATTGAAAGCCCAGTAACAAATATTAGAAAGGGCTTCCCTTACTGCCCCACTGTATACCACCCCTTGGTGTTGAGGGGTCAAAGGGGCAATCCTATCAACTGTGCCTCTAAAAGAATTGTATGCTAAGCCAAAAGCTTAAATTTTCTTTCACCAAGAAACAGTACCTTAAAATTATTATCTTGCTTCATTTTTTTCCTGGTGCTAGTGGCAAAAGCGCTACACCAAAACAGCAACCAACAAATAAAAATTCCAGGCTAAAGGCAATTTTTTGTATAATGTAAATGTGATAGTGATCTATTTATAATAATGGGGAAAGAAAAGAGAAATCAAAGTGCTGACCTAGCACTTTAGAATTACAAATATAGGCGTTCCATTTATTTCAGACTTCCTCAGAAAACCACAAGACCAACATCCTCGCCCACACTTTATAATGTATTTAATAGAGCAAATCACAAAAGCACTTGGCAGCATTAAAGAAATCTAAACAAAATATATATTAAGAGGCTTAAGCAAGAAAAAGGTCTCTGCCTGGTATTGAAGCAACATGAGATTTAGTAGAGTGGTCACCTGTGCATCACCCTCCTCCAAAAAGAGGAGCACACATACAAAAAGAGGACAAAAGAGGGCAGTGAATGGCATAAAATGAGCATGCACTCCTTTATAGGTAGGTGGAAATGCAGCACTAATAACTACAAAGAAAACAGAAATGCAGGCCATCTCACCATGGTGGGAATGGCTAAGACTGTAGCTCATGTGTCCACTGTCCAGATGCTAACTTTGATGAACAATTTCAAGGCCGCCACTGCTCTCCCTTCTTAGGGTCCTTTATCTTTAAGCCAGACTTGAGACCATATGGGCCTTCTAGTGGAGAACTGCCTATGGCAGCCTTTCAAAATAAAGTGCTGTCTTCTGGGAAGCAGGAGGTGTGGCCACCCTACTAAGGAAAACGTTCTCGAGATGAGGTGCCACAGCCTTTTCTGTGATCACCACCTAATCTCCAGAAACCCATGACATGTGGGAGAAAACCAGCTAAACTCTATCTCAGGCCTGCCTGTTTCGATTAATGATTTCAATTCCTTCACCACATTCCTAACCCATTCATCCTTCCAGTTCTCACACACACCCTTTAACAAACATTGCATTTGCTCCATTCTTCCAGCACCAAGCACGTTAACTACTGCTTAAGCTTCTCCTAGGATATATAATGCTTGCTCTACACAGTGTCAGACTATCTGCCAGCCAATCCAGCCCAGCAGCATCAGCTCTACATAGGAGAGGCTCTGAAGGGTTGCAGCAAAAGAACCAGTAGGTATCATCTCCTTTCAGAATGGGGCATTCCTGTCCTCCACTTCCCCATTCCAATCCCCTTCTCTGCATGAGCAGAAACACTTTTCTGCTTCCACAAGGTATCACTAAATACAACTGTAGTGGTATTCTTTGGGGTAGGGGCCTATCCTTCAGTTGGATGTGCTAAGGTGTGTGCTAATTCATCAGGAGTCCACATCCAGAGAAAAATGAGGCACACCCTTTGCACACTGAGTAAAGAGAATGCAATTAGTCCTGGGTGAAAACAAGATTTGCCATGAAGTAAACTCTGAAAACAAGACAGAAGCTAATTTCTCTCTTATTTCTGCAGTGAAATTAGACCATCTTACTTTTTCTGAGTTTCTCCAGCCTTGACTCTGACCTTCCGGATGCGCAACTCAGGAGTATTCCACCAATCTGACCATGTGAAAAAGGAATCGCTCTCCCACCGCAGTTTCACAATAAGGAGGTCTCCAATATCAGTCTCTGAACATATCAGGAAAGAATGAGTTTTGTTTGCAGAGATCTCAGGCCTGTTAAAAACAAATTTGAAAATCTATGCTTAGCAATGGCTTTTTTGACTTCTTAACGTGGAGTACCATTAGCTTAGTGGGGAATATGGAACAGTAGCTGTGGGCTCTTGCAAAGTTGATTACTGTTCCTTTCCATATCCATACAAATATGTATTTGCATTATTGTACAACTTCCAGGAAATATACATAGGCTTCAAGAAAAGCAGAGCAGTATTCATAAAGGTGAAGTCTCTATGTCCAAACATTTAAAGCACTGTAAGGTTTTCAATCCATAGCATTAGAGGACCGTTTAGCCTTTCAGCGTTGTAAAAGCAGTTATTTAACTGTCAAAGAGGTGCAAAGAATCAATTCACACTGGCCATTTTTTCCATTATGCAGGCAAATAATTTTAAAAAGTATGCACATTAGTGTATATTAAATAGTAAACAAGCAACTACAGTTTGTTTAAAATAAGCATTAGTAGAATTGCACTTCCAGCTATTAGCTCAATTAGACAATCCCTCGTTACAAGATGTTGCATTGTCCAGTAGACACAAAACAAAACCTTTTTGCAGAAAAAGGTGCAGCCTAAGAGCTATACAGATGCAACAGACAGATGCCATTCATAATATTAAACTTTTGCTGTATATGGTAAATTGGGTTACACAGAATGAAAAGGAAGTGTAATTGCACTCTCTCCCCTAGATAACTATTTAGTTCCTTGTTTAACATCTTGAACAGGATAGAACGCAGAAACTCAAATCTTCCTCTTTCTGAACCTCCAGAGTAAATACACCAAAGCGAGATGCAGGCATCAAGTGAGCACCTCTGCACATTTTCTGGAAATGTGGTGTGAGTGGAGAAGGAGAAGAGGAAGCATGGCATCATTCACTGTTCTTGTTTTAGCCCCTCTTCATAACATGCAGTTCTCATAACTGGCCTGAGAACTCCTTTTCAATTTAGATGCACCTCATCACAGTTTCAAATCCTGCATTTCCCAGAGAAATATAGTGGAAACACAGCCTCTGAGAAGAATGGATTCTGCAGACAACTTTATATTAGCATGAACCACAAATTAAGGAAAAGTGCACATCCTAAAATGGGGTAAAGCCAACGCAAAAAATGCAGACACCTTAAATATGAAGGCTATTGGACACATTGGACACAAGCATCTCTTTTAAATTCCAGGAGTAACATTTTCAATGGACTAATACAAGTAGAGAGTTCTTTCTATTGGTACTCACAGTATAACTGCAATGTTGTTGCTTTCATCCTTCGTGCCATGCAGAGACACAAGGAATGCCTGATTTTTCTTGGTGAAATTTGTATTTCCAAAGAAGTGGATCTTAACTTGATAATGAAAAACTGAGCAGCAAAAAGAACAAAAGGGATGGGGAAAGAAATGTGTAAAATTGTTTTGAAGCCTAACTTTATCTCAAATTTACTACTGTTATTCAAGCAAAGAAATACTTTCACATGGAAGTAACCAAACCAGTATATTTATCTCTTCAATGTTTGATTTAACCAAAGGCTACAAAATACATTTATGTGCCAATCTTAAAATTTTATCTCATATATCTAGAGAACAATGAAAGAGGAGAGCCATAATGTCATGTTATGGGATGATCTGAGAATCCACTAATCTTCCACCTAAGCGTGTAATCCCTAGGTCAGCACACAAAAAAGAGATAGTAGCTTATACTGCAGTGATGGCTATTTGAAGTGGTCTCACCATGGAAATTTAACTGGATGGCTTGAAATAGACACTTGGCATAAAGCAGTCCATGGTTAGTGTTTCTCCCATTCATTAAGATATATATCTGAAGAGGCCACCTCTAACAATGTAATTACTGAACCTGTGTATTTTCTCAAACTACCAGGTGCACCAACTCACATAAGGTGCATATTTGTGCTTCATTGGTCCACACTGGACCATGTGTTTCTATAAACCCAATGCAAGAAAAAAGCCACCACGATTCACATCTTTAAAAGGTGGACAGGCAACCCAGAACACTAGAATGCAGCCTATTTAAGGTAGGGCTTAACATTCAACAGCATCAAATGCAATCTAGTTTTGGGGGATCAGAATTAGTATGTTCTGTGAGATTTTTTTTCTGAAAAGCATTTAGATTGTGAGAATATTTGTCTGCTTTCAATCATGTTGTCTAAATCCTCCATACTCATGGGAATGCATGAAGGGTCATATCCTGACCCATCTGCTGCTGTAGAAGCAACCTGATTTTCTTATTTCACACTTACTATAATACCTTCTTGCTTTTCAGAAAAAGCCCTTACTAAGTGAACAAAAGGGTCTGATCCAGTGGGAAGATCACATACAAAAATTCCTTTGAAATTAGTAGAATCTATGGAAGGGAACCATCATGTTTTTCAATAAATCCATTACTTATGCACTAGCTTTTCACCTGCTAGTGGGTTCCCAAAATGGCACACATTCATGAAAATGCATTCAAAAATTCATAGGGAATCAAGGATATTACATGAACCATAACTATGGTATTATCATAATTGATAATTTGCTCACAAATTACAAATCCAACTGAATACATGTGAACAAAAGCTCTCTGAAGTTTTGCATTTACACATCACAATGTGTATCGTGGAAACATGGCATGCATGACATGGTGCTTTTTCCACTTTGTGTGTCAGGATTTCATGAGCCACAGCCCTTCCTTCATCATTTGACTCTTATCAAGTGCTCTCTGTTTACAACTGTGGATTGATAAAAGGAGAGGCAGTGGAAGCAGAACAAGCATCAGCCACAAAACTGCCTGTCCATCACAGGACTTGGCATGTTGCAGACACAGTTCCTTCCACCATTGCTGCATGGTTTCCGATCCCAACTTTTCAGATGATTGATTCATTTGCCAAGGAATAACTGAGGTTTAATGTAAAATAACTGCAAAGTGTATTTTTCATTCCTTTTCGACAGTGAAGAAGTACAACAAACAAAAGAGCAGAGACAGTGGAGGTTAGCTGCTTAATCATGCAGACTGCACAGACCAAGAAATATAAATTAACTCATATAAAATACAGTTTGCATGACAAAAAATATGAAAGTCTGTTGGATCCAAGTCACAGCTCATTTTACGTTTGAGAATTATGGACCTGCTATTTGACTTGTAGACTAATTTTGAGTTTCAGCTAGCTGAAAGAATTATTCAAACAAGTGTCATTATTTCACTGGGCCCTGTGCAAGGCATCTTTCTGCTCAATCATGCCCCAGACCAATTTGTTTCCCATGTTATGAAAAGCATCTGCAGCAAAATTCTAATAATAAAATCATTTTACCTTTGTAAGGCATTTGTGCTCGTGTCTTCAGATACATTTTGCTGTTCCTCTTGTTTCTCACCCTCTTGATCTGGTAGCCTAAATTATTGCAGCGGTTCTTTCTGCAGCTCAAGCAGAGCCCTCTCTCAAATGCTTCCTTAGAGTTGCAGCGGTATGCCATTATTGGTTTTTCTCCATATAAGAGGGAATCAATGAAGAGGTGGATGGAACGTTCGTGAGAGCATTTTACCAGCTGGTCTGCATCTTTGAAGGAAAGGAAACAATATGCAATGGAGGTACGGCATAAAGAAGTTTGCTGCAACTTAACAGCATATTTCAAGAAGGCAGAGCTACTTCAACTGTTTCCCAGTTTTGATTATTTAGGAGTCAAATTAAGTAGGTTTGAAGCAGACTGATTCTTTTCTGAAGAGCATTTAACACTTAGAATAGCATTTGTTTTCTTGAAAAGCATGAAAACATTTGCTTCTTTTCAATCTCCTTTTCCAGCACCATGGTTGCTCTTGCCTGGCTGCTTCTTTGCTGGACTTTGCCCCTTAACTGCCACCTCTTCTTTCTTCTTCTCCCCCATGAATTTATTATTTTATTTGGAATACATGTTTGGGTCATGTAAAATAACATCCCTATGTACTTTACACATACATATTAAAATCATATTTAAATATTGATATCAAAACATGTTTAAGATAGCATTTTAAAAACAAAGCCAATTGAGATGATGATAATGCAGAACAATACAAGGGGAAGCGTAATTAATTGTATTAGGAGCCAGGGAAAGCCTGGATGGATATAGAGGAAGGTTTCCAGTGGGTGGGTCATGAAATATTACAGTGAGGTACCCCAATAATTTCATAAGAACCAAGCAAGGCATCCTCTGATGATCTTAAAGTTTGCCTGGAGAGAAATAATGGAAGTCATTCTGGAAGATGCCTTGGTTCAAACTCATTTAGTTCTCTGAACGGCAATAACATGGAGTGGCAGCCAAGAGGCAGCTGGTGACATTCTTATGGAAGTCTACCTGGGATCCAGTGAGCAATCTGGGTCCTGCATTCTGCACTAGCTGTCATTTCTGAACCAAGCCCAAGGGCAGCCACTTATTGGAGAGCATTATAGTAGTCCAATCATGAGATTATCAATGTACAGATCACCATGACTAGGGCTGTCCCTACTTACGAATTAGTCACATCTGTACTCTACACAGGGCATCATATAACGCGAGAATATTATGCTGCCAATCAGATCAGGCTACATGATTATGTCACTAAGGGCAACTGAAAATGGCTGCAAATGAAGACAAGGTAAACACCAAATTGTTTCCCAGGAAGTGCAGGAAACACCGCCAAAATGTGTGATTTCCATATCATTTCCCACTTACTGAGAGTTCACATGGACTAGTTCTCAGTGTGGAGACAAAAAATTCAAATGTACTTCTTCAGTTCACTATCAAAGTTGATTTTAGGTTAGGTCCTCTCATTCCATATCTGAAAGTTGTCATAGCTAAAAAATGTGCCTTTCAGTGGTGCAGCAGATATCAGGAATAAAATGATGTAACATTGGTGATGAAATTTTACAATCTGTCTACACCTCCAGCTGAGATACTGGAGATATTCATCCAATGTGAAACAGAACAAGACACAAATACACAATACTTTTCAGGAACAGTGATCATTTCCTTAATGTGCTCACCAGTTCAAGTAACACCCTCAGTTGGTGACTAGTTTCTTCAGTCTGGAAAGAAGGATTCCAGATAAACTCGGGGATGGTTTGAACAAAGTCCATCCCACACACAGTAAATTCAAGTGAGAAGCAAAACTTAATTAAAGGATACACAGGAACAGGGAGGTAATTTTAGCCACTGGGTTTCAACTGTATTTATGCCTTTATTGACATTCACACATAAACTTACTATGAATCCCTTTTTCTGCAATCATGCGCAGGGCGTCTCCTATATTACAACCTGGCTGGAAGCCACCTCCGTTAGGGTAGATATCAATGTGCCCAACAGGTTTCTGTATTCCAATACTGCGATCTGGGGTCCCTCTTGTATAAGTGTGCAAGACATCTACAAAGACAGCATCATCTGGGGAAAGGCGTAGAGATGCATCTGCATATTCAAAGTGTGGTCCAGCAGGATCTAAACCTGATTGGGAACATGGCAGTAGAACAACTATTAGCACTCTCTGTACCTTGCTATTATCTACCATCACACCATTAATAATCAGTCTTATAGACACCATCCCCATTTCATTTAAGTCAATGGCACAATTCCCACCCATATCAACAGCTCCCGATTGCACCCACTCTTTTGAGTCATTTCTAGATGAGAAATTCGTCCTGGAAAAGAGGAGTTTAAGGATGGTGATAAACCACTGCTAGGACTCTTCCCACCACACATTCTTAACTCTCTCCAATTAATATCAGTGGGACTAACAGCACATGACAAATGCTACAGCAACCCACATAGCACCTAAGCTATACTGGCTGAAAATCTCAGAGGAGTGGTTAGATATTTTAATCTGTATTCAAGTCAGTGAGGAGGGATAAATGCCTTAACTCAGCAACCCTTTTTAAAAATTCTAGTGATTTTCAAAAACAAAGTATGGAAAAAATGCTTCAAAGCCAAAACAGGTCATGAAATGTTACATAAAGGCTTTAAAATCTTTCTGAAATGTCAAGTAGCTCTTATAAAAGATTCAGTGTAGCAACTGCATTGGATTGCATAACCAGTTTTTTGGAAGACCACTAATTCCTTCTTAAAATCCTGTTAAGACCTGAAGTAAAGAACCATCTGAAATAAGGGCTTAATACTGCCATCCAAATAATTTATTCTACAGATTAGATGCTAATATTTTTTTTATAAAGAATGCAGTCCACAGTCCCAAAATCCTACTGAAACCTATGACTACACAGAACACTGTGATCAGAGTCTTTCAGGATGGCATCCTTGTTTTTTTAAAAATGGGCAGACTTACCTTCAATGCAAATTGGGGCAGTTTGAGTAAGTGTTGTATGTTAAACTAGCCATGGAGGCTTGTTTAAGTTGCAGTGCGTGCCAAGAACAATTTCCATAAACCACCCACTTGGCCAGAGTTTGTTGTGCCCTCTGAACCCAGCTGGAATGGTTTGTTTGAGGGGGAAAGAACTATTAGATAACCCACAGCCTATTGCTGAATTATCTGAGGATTGTTTCCCCCTCCAACAAGCCAGGGATGATGATGATGGTGCCCAGTGCGCACTGTGGCTTGATCAAATCTATGATCACAGTGCAATGCCTGTCCCTAGTCCTGATGTGCCCAGCAGGAGACATTTCTGAGAAACCAGTTACATTTTATATCTTCAGAAATGGAGGATCAAAGAATTGGGACAGCTCCAACAACTGCAGGTGAAACATATAACTATCACATCAAATGCTTTATTTGAATGACTGCAAGCTATTCCTCCTCCATTCTATCTCAAGATAGTGATAATGCCATTACTTCAATAAGTGTTTTTATTTTTCCCTCCCTCCTTTCTTGTAACATTTTGCCTGATGAAAAGATCTGGAATTCTTGAAAGCTTGCACATTTTCATGATCTTTTGCTTGGCCCAATAAAACTATGGAATTTGGAATTGATGGATTTTGGAATTGAAAAATAATGGTGCTTCAGCTGGAAAAATGCTGTTTGCAGAAGCACAATTGTTATACAAGTTACCAGTAGAGTTCCACAGCAGAAACCAGCACTGAAAATGGAACACTTCACTTCGTTATTCCTATGCCAACCAGACATACTTACCAGTGATTCTATTAATCTTGTTGCTGGTCAGACTTCCGGCAACACCAGCCACATGAGCACCAAGACTGTATCCCAGCAAATGGATTTTGTCCACAGAGTAACCGAATTGCTCCTAAGAATGATAAATGTTAAAAGATTAAGCTTTATACAGTAGCTTTTCTGATAAACAGCAAATGAACTGATTTGTGGAATCTTTAACATACAGCCAAAATGCTACATGGACAGTTTAAACTTGCTACCAATTTATTCAGTTTTATGTGCCAGTCAATCGCATGATAGCATTGTCATAGAAGCAAGAGTTGCAAGAATTTTTTAAAAATTAAACATTATTGGGCAATTTTTCTGTCTAGAACACATTACCACAAATGCTTGGTTTTACAGTTCTCAAAACTGAATTGTGTCTGCGGAGATCATGTGTTTCTTCTTCACAGCAAATGTTATAAATTAAACATACACAGAAAAAAAGCCTTAATCCCATTGCTCCTTTGCAAATCTACAACACCTTACCTCTTAAGTGCTAAGTTTCAAAAGGTTCAATGAACAGAAGATTGTTGGAATTGGAATAAAGCACAAGAAGCTAAGTGTGTGGAGGGAGGGGCAAGCAGTAAAAGTGAAACCTTTTGAGCAGAATGCTCCTCAAGTATTTAGATCATTTTGCGTATAGCCTGAGGTTTATTATATTATTCTTTCCCTGGAGGAGAAAACCTGTAATGGTTGTAGGTCATAAAAGACACCCAATTTGGGAATATTTTAAAGATGTTCCTCTATCCATGAGTAAGGCATGCACGCATGCAAATTATGTAAAGAAAAAATATGTTTAAATTTCATCTTACTTAGCAACCGGACTAATCAGGACAGCATCTGCCCTCTTCCTTAAACTGCAGAGTGCCTGCTTAACCTGAGGACTGAGTTGGAAGCCAGTCTCAAATCCCATCTCCAGCAAGGAAGGATGCTCAGCTTGCAATGAGCCTGCTGCTCTCTCTGCCTCCCCTGCCCAGCACAATTGATTAGAAAGGATGGTAGGAAAGCAGAACAGCTGTCAGATGCCCTGCAAGCCTCCCAAGGGTGGACTTCAATCCTTTTCACACTCTCACAAAAGATTTAGCCATTTGAGATCAAATAATGAAGTGCTCATATAGTACCTAGTTCTTCCCTAAGTGCATCTGCCTAACTTCTTCTAGGAGTGGCACAAGACACAATGCTTCAGATAAAGATCTAAGCATGTAGGTAGGTTCAGATGGGATACGGTTGGTTCTTCAGGAAAGTGAAAAGCAACTGTTTGAACTGTTCCCGGAAAGTAATTGGAAGCGAGGAGTGGGAAGGTATCAGAACATCAGGGTTCTCTGCTCGGAATCATGGGAATGTATTAATAAATGTATCACTACAACCTAGAATATACACCATTTCCAAATGCTTTTCTAAGACAGTTCCATGGAGAAGGCATTGTAATCTACTGATTGTAGATTTTTGTGAGCCGCCCCGAGGCTTTGTTGCGATGGGAGTGGCATAGAAATGTTTAAAATAAATAAATAATAAAATAAATTGTCTAAGGAGATGCCTGAACCATCAATGACAGCTAAGAGGCTCATAATCCCCTGAAATAGGAAGGAGAAGGCATATCAATCACAGCTAATGAAAAGCATTCCTGACCAAAGCTGCCAGCTGAGTATCCAAGAGAAAAGCCAGACCTAGAGGTAGTCTACATGCCCTCTGGTCCTTAAGAAGGAGGCCATCCTACCCACAAAAGAGTTAACGCCAGTTCTAGTTCAACACACTTTCCCATCAAACTTTTATGGGAGTTTCATTTTATTTACAGCATGGTCATGTAACTATGTTCACTTCCAGCAAAATAAATTAGTTCATAATACTAGCTTCCTATAGCATCCATAAAGAATTAATAACTTATTCTGGTTCAGAAGAGTATGAATAGATGTGCTTATGAAAGAGAATCAACATTACAGCTTTCAATGAAGTATACCCCATCAATCTTCAACTGAAATTGTAACACTGGACATTCCTCCAATGGACACGCCTCCATACTAAAAAGAAACCCTCCGTGTAGACAACTTCTATGATAGAAGGAAAGGTTCAGAGCATCCATGCAATATGCCAATGTTCCATATGCATGGTTCTCAAACAGGTGCTCCTCACTTGCATTCTGCATGAGTTATATCATTTGATACCACAAGAATCAAATGTTGTTGTAAGCTGCCCCGAGGCTTCGGCAAGGGGCGGCATAGAAATGTTATAATAATAATAATAATAATAAAAAAGATGTACAGTATACTTTAACAGACACAGCATGTTTCACAGTCTCCATGTTTATCCTCCTGGATACGTGCAGTACAGAAATGGCTTACCTCCATCCAGTCAATCAGTGTGGCAACTTCTTCTCCCACCACCTTTGTGTAAGCAGCAGCTACTGGATAATGTAGGCTGGCTCGAGACAGCCAATCCACAACAATGACATTGGAGTAGGGTTCCCTCGTGTAGAGTGCCTTTACCAGCTTGGAAACCCAGCTCTCAAACATGCCTGTCACCTGGAAGAAAAGATGATAAACCATACTGATCTGCCTCCATTTATAACAGGAATCCAAATGAATACACAGGATACACATATGCGTGTCCTTAATGACATCTTCACACACTTCCAGAATAGGTGGTATATTTGAGGGATTATGCCACTGCAGCATCAAAGGAATCTTGGAGGCGAATTCATGTAGGACAGATCCTTCAGTGGCTAAGAAACTCAATGTGACAAGCTGTCACAATCAAGCTCAGATGGCTTAACAGAATAGCAGCTCACCTAACGGAATCATACACATTAATGAAGGATAAATGTATTGTTAACCATGATACCTGATAATAACTATTATGGCTAATCAGAAACTAGCAAATTCAATGTACAGGGGAAGTATACCATGGGCTATCAGATACTAAAGACAACAGGAAACTGCTATCACCTGAATGCCCTGCTTGTATCAGGTATGGAGCCACCAGGACTAGAATGAGGGAGGTGGACCTTCAGTTTCATGTATGGCTGCCCCAGTATGGTGAGATCTCTACCCCACAGCTCCAACTATTATTCTGGCATTGAAGTATTCTCTGCACTGGCCTTGCCTATCCAGGGTGACCTTTGGCTTTTCCTTTACAGAGAAGGCTATAAAAGGAATGTGTTGGCTGCAACATCACCTAAGCAACCACTCATCCTGACTCTAACATGTCTCCCACCATACTGCTCCCTGGCTTCTTCCTTGGCTCTGCCTCCCTAGCTCACCTCTTGCAGCTCTGACAAGTTTGTTAGCTTCCAGAGGTATTTGGGAAGCTACCATGCTGCACTAGGTGGCCTGATCCAGCAAGGAAATTCTCTTGTTCATATGTTGCCGGAGATGTGATGTAAACAGCTAGTTTTAACAGGGGTTCAAAGATCAGTTGCTCTAAAAAGCATGCATTTTAATTCCTTAACAGAAAGCCAAAGGTTGGACAACACTATAGATTTCAAAAGGCTACCTCTAGCTGCCCATGCAAAAATGAAGGAAGTTTACCAAATACTGGGGTATCATGCATAAGAACTATGCAAGGAAGTCACTATGGAGTCTATATTCAAATCAGCCCTATCTGGGAATTCTTACTGAAGGGGCTGGAGAACTGCTCTTACCGTCCATCCATGTATAACCATAAAGGTTTTAGTAGTTAGATTAAAATTGCACTGTGCTACACTCGCTTCTTGTCCAGGAACAATGTAGCAGGTGTCTTCATAAGGGTTTTTAGATGTCCTTAAAGAAAACTTGCTCTTGATACCACTGAAGTCTCTCTTTTTTTCAGCGATGCTACCTGCAGAGTAAAGAGAGTACCAAATGGTTTGGAAGAAAGGAAATGCCAGCAAATAATGCAGTTCTGAATTATACACACTGAATGCTTAGCACTGGTTCTGTTTGAAAGTCTCTTTGAGGATGAAATAGAAGGCAGTGGGTCATTCCCCATGGACTACTGTCAAACCCCATGTCCCCAGTTGCACCCCTTTCAGGGTAAGCCTCTGAATTATATAAAACCACCCAGCTGTGGATATAAGCAGCATGGGAAGATGCTAACTTTGGATCTTTTGGTAGCTATCTGGGAGATTTACAGTAAAGTGTTGAGGATTCCCAATTTTTTAACAATAGCAGCAGCGAAATGATTCCCTCTCCCCCTTTCCCAACTCATTGAAAAAGCTGAGGTAGGGAGAGAACCAGAGCACACGTGGAGCGGGACCTGTAGACATTCTGGAATTCAATTAAGTTCCTGGGCACAGAATTCTTTAATCCTTTGTAGTGTATGATTTTGTGCCACACTCTGGCTGGTGGATCTTGGGGTTATGATACTGCACATTCCAGTGTATGGCAATAATGCAACAATAAACACAAATGATTTTCAGTAGAGAAAAGCTGTGGGGAATGCACACCTTTTATAGTATGCGATCTGTGGTTTTTCTTCTCTTTCATTCAGCCTCACAATTTGAGCCACAGAGGTGAGCAGCCCCACCTGCACACTACATAGACCTCTTCTTAGTTTTGGCCAGTCTGATTCCATCCTTTTTTACAAACACTCGCCAGCTTCAGCAAGACATAGCCCTATGCATGGCTATTCGTGGGTCTTGCTCTTCATTGAATCAACATCTTTTAAGTTTTCACCAGCAGTTTGCATTTTACTGTTTTAACAGAGCATGTGGGCAAAGTGTCCTGCAGAGAAGACCTACCCCTCTACCTCTGCAACAGAAAGAGTTACCATCCCATATTCAAGAAACACTAAAATCCTTAGAAACTAGGTTCTGAAAGATTGTTAACATAATCCTAGAAGCCTGCCATACAGACTAGATGTGCATTGTCTATGCTTGCCAAGATACACTTTCCATTGGAAAGCATTCACCCACTTACCTATGAGAAAGTAAAAATATGCACTTGGATACACCAATAAGGTAGGGAAGCCACTAAAAATCAGTCCTTCTCCACCCCTCTCTCTGCAGATCACCTTGGCTTCATTTATTGGTGCGAAAGGAGAATAGTAGGAACTAGCTTTCCATAAAATATATGGAATCAGCTTCCCAGAGATGTGCACCAGGTACCTTCTTTGTACACATTTTGGCCCCAGGCAAAGACTGCTTTTTTAGTTTTGGAGTATTCTGACTGCTGATAGTTTTAATTCAAAGCTTTAATCCTAATTGTAGGTAGATATTTAAAATTTTAAAATTCATAAATTAAATCTTTAATTATAAGATGCTGTATAATCTGGCCATTGCATGAGATGAACACAGTTGATGCTCCTGCTGATGGAATGGATGTTTATTAGAATTGCTGTATTATTTATCGAGTGTGTTAATGTTGCTGCTTTTGTTGTTCTGATTAATTATCTTTTAATTCCTGTAAACCATCTAACAGCCATGCAGCTATTGTTAGTCTATGAAAGCTTGAAATAAATAAAATCCCACTGCTGACTGACAATTTTTAATGAGCTGCATAAAATGTTCTGTTACACCACTAAACACTCTGGAATTCCACACTTCTTGTTGTTCTATATGTTTTTGCCATGACTTATCTGGAGGTAGGTAAATGTTTAACATAAGCACATGATCTTATTTCAGGATAAGTCATTTATTCAATACGAAAAACCATATGCCTGGATGCTGAATCCATCAGCAAGCTCAGCACTTACTTGGTTTACTTGCATCTATCAAATATTTATCTACTTTTCGTAACATGGCAAACGTCAACACAGTCATATTGTTTACCCAATTGTGCACTCAATTCATCCTTTTTCCGTGGGGGTTTCACAATGTTCTCAGAATTTATTTGGGGGATGCTGCTCCAAACCAGAAAAAGAACTGTCAATCATTTGTCATATTATATTAGTGTACATCAGGAACAAGAGCTACTCTTGATGACACTGTTGGATTTTTCCAGAAACAGAATGCCATAAAAGGATTGCAATCCTATGCAAGGGTTTTTTTTTGTTGGGGGGGGGGGGGCGCCTAAAACTCCCAGCATGCCTCTGCCATCCATGCGAACAGAAAAAGGCCTATGCATAGGTATTTGCCTGGATGTACATATAGCATTTTAGTAGCATCCCTCTATTCAGCACATCTAAAATATTGTGCCAACAGGTTTGCAAATCTGCTGTTGACGTACATGCTGAGCAGTGTTAAATCCGGCTCACAAATCAGCCCAACATTTCTACTAGTCCCACTGATAGTCCCAATTTAAGACATTGAGCTTTAGCTAAAGAAATACCAGCAGTTTCAAGGAGAACATTCTAATTTAATGTGAAGCAAAGTCAGTCCAACTCTGTAACACCTCACAAATAATATAGTCCCTTGCTTGAAGTCAGAATTTTGACTCACAAAAGTCTGTGCAATGGTGCCACGAGGGCTCAAAGGGGTGCTTGGTGGGAGGGATGTAAAGGAAGCAATTAAGCTCATTTATTTTCATGGGAATGTTTTCCAAACATTGGAAGCTAGAACTGTTCCACTTGCCTGCCTCAGAAGGAAAACTGACAAGACTCACACATACCATGTTGTACATTTATGATTATAGCTCATTCTAAATAAATCTCTTAAAATTAAACATTCTGTTTATTTTACCTAATGCCTTTCACTTCACTAACATTCACTGCCTTCTTTATGGAATTCCCTTTCAAGAGAGATGCATTCATTCCCTCACTGGGTACACCTTCGGTCATTCAGTGAAGACCTGCTGTTCTGGCTGATGCTGTTGAACTGCACATTTTCTTAAATCAGATCTGCAATGCAAATACTATAAATGAAGCCCTCTTCCTTTATTGCCAGTTTTAAAGCATATCTTTAATCTCTAATTTCTATATGATAATACATATTTTACCCCAAAGAAAAAGAAGCCCCTTGTGGCTGAATGGGCTTTGAGTTAAACATAAATTCCTTGCTGTTCCACTCAGTTATAAATTAACAAAGTTCGGAATGGAATAAAAAGAGCTTTCAACTGAACAGAATATAGCCAGGAAACTCATAATAGACTTGGTCATGAAAGGCTCCTGTTCCAAACAGGAAAGCAAACAAGGACACCAAGTCTATACTTTATTTATATGCTTTTCTTTCCAATATTTAGCTATTATGCATCTCCTGTGTGTTGAATTTTATAAACATAAAAGCTTTACCAGTTTTTGCCTGAGCATGAAAATTCAAGCTATTCCATTCAAACTGCTGCCTGTAGCTAAATAGACATACCTTTTATATAAACCTGAATATTGCTTTATGCAGAAGCATATATATGACTGCTATTAAGATTTCTATAGCCTCTTTGAAGAACTCAAACATTTCACAAATATAAACTGTCTAGACTAGGCTTCCCTAATTTGGTACTCTCCAAGTGTTCTGGATACCAATGTGACTTCCTTACCACCAATAGGCAATTACTTTTGTGAGTAGTGGCAATTTGGGCCACGCTGTGCACAATTCAAAATATACCACTGATATTTACATGGTTGATGCTTTTAAAATAATAAATGGCTGCTATCAAGGCACCTAGTCAGGATCAGAACCACAACTGGAGGAAAACTCAACTTTCCCTCCCTGGGCTGGGACCAATAAAAATCCCTCAGCACAAAGCTGAAATCAGCCCTAGAGGGAAGCTGCCAGATTGATCATTTTAAGTGAAAGGAGTGCCAGTCTAAATACTATGGCAGGCAAAGGCCTCCAGATATTTCAGGCCACAAGTCCCATGAATTCGAGATAGCAAAATCCATTCTGAAAGTTAATGTGTGCTGCAGGCAAAACATCTGGAGGACCACAGATGTTCTGAGGACCACAGGTGCTGCTCTCTGAGTTGTAGCCATTCTCAATTATATTTAGAATGGACCACTGAAATCAATGCAACCCGAGTATGGCTACGTCTGGGTACAAGCCTGTGAAACAGCACTCGTGAAGCTACTATTCAGGTCCACCAGAAGCAACAGTGGCTGGCGCCCATGTTCATACAGAAATCAGTTTGTTGTGGCTTATGCACAACAAAACTTGCAACTGGCATATGCTTTCTGCATATTCAAAGTATGCCACCTATGCTATGGGCACAATCCAGCCTGAGTTAAGTTCCTACTGGATAGGGCTGCCTTAGAAAACACACATGAAACATTCTGAACACCGGAAACAGGTTCTATTTCAAGTCCCAGTAATTTCAGTGTAAAAGCTTTACGTGCGAGAACAAAATTCACCCCCATCTCAGAGATGGGTGAGCCATACTGCAGACTCAGGGCAATATGGACACAAGTGGGCATGGTAAGATTTGAACAGAGCATTTTTTCATGTAAGCGCTCCTATACTTAGCTGCACAGAGTAGACATTTCTAGAGATGCAAACACCTGTGGAGGAGAGGAGCACATAAAGCTTGTAAGGGAAAGGTGGAAAGTTTGGGACGGAACCCATTTATCCTAATTCCAAAAACCATGATTTTTTTCCCCATTTTTCGCCCCCCCCCCTTTCTCTGGGTGGTGGGGTTCTAGGTCTTTATCTCTCCAGTCGCTCCATTAAAGGTAACCTGCAGTCTTTCCAATGATGACAATGAGGAGCTACTCACATTTTAGATTTTGGATAAATGTTAGATCCTCCAATCACAAATGTGCCCTATTTACATGCTGGAATGCACATTATTCAAAAGCCAAAATATCAGATTTAGGTTTACAATAAAGCCAGTAGAGGAGCTTAAATGCCAGATTTCTCTGGCAACAGCAAAACTCTAGCAACTACTAGCACAAACATAAGGAAGTACCACGATATATTACAACATTATTTGTCCTCCAAATTGATTTGTTATTGGAGAACACTGTAACAAACTGGATACAAAGTCAGCAAAACAACAACAGATCCATGCACTGTTACAGGGCAGAGCCTCAAGCAGCACAGACTAGCACAGTTCTGTTTAAGAAAAAGCAAGAACTTTAAAAAGCCTCTTTCAAATGAGAAAATGATATGTTGCATTTTTCTGAACTGCAGAAAGTATTTTTGGTCTCTTTCCCTGCTTCCTGCAGTGTAAATTTATCAACCTGCCTCTAATCCTTACAAAATAAGAGACAGATCTCGGTGAATCCAATTCTGGTGTCAATAGCAGGTGGGTAGAACGCTGCTAACATGTTGCTCCACTGATTAGGAACAAAAGTCCACCAACTGACATGCAACATTGAACTGGAATCAAACCTAATCCTTGAGGAATGGGGTGCTTATCTTGGCAGCAAATGATCTATTTGCAAGGGGGATTACAAAAACCTTTGCATGTTTTTTGTACTTAACTGCAGGATTCTTGCTGCCATTCTTTTCATTTTCTACATTTTAGGAATGTAGACAGGTTAGCACAGAACACTGGAAGTGGATGTTATGCTGTTCTTCTCTTCTCAAAGTGAGCTAACGTGATGCTGGACTATACAGAACTTCCAAAACTCTGTTCAGAAGTGTGAACGGAGCATGAATGCTTTGCTACTCTTGTAGGCATGTGGCGTGGAAGAACATTCAAGGTATGTGTATGTAAATTCAGATCCATGAGCAGAATCCATAAATGGATAGGCAGTTTGTGCACATATAGTTCATAGCATGGTTAGGGCATGCTCGGAGTTGTAGGATTTTCATCTGCCTGAACATGCGTAAATTCGTGTTGTAAGCATGACTAAAAAGTTGCGGTTCTTTTAAGTAAGCCGATAATCCTGTGCACACATACCTCAGAGTAAGCTCCCACCAAAACCACTGGGATTACTTTTTGGGTACACTTAAGATGGGGATTTTAAGAAGTACAATCCTATACAAGTTCATTTAGAATTCTACTGCTTTAAATGCAATGGATTTGCCACTAATGGCTAAACAGCTTGGAAATCATTGTGTGTTTGTCATACAGCACTGCAGCATTAGCCCTTCAGCTGCACATTTACCCAGCCACAGTCCCATACCAAGCAGACCATTCATCTACCAAATCGGCCAGGCAGACAGTTTATTCTTAGTGAAAGCCATCAACAGCCAATTACAATATTAAGGAATACTTTCCCCACTAGTGTACTGACTATCCTAATCGATTGCCTACTGTTTCTACATGTTTGTCCCAGAACTCTGTATCTTTAATTGCTAGAGGACAAACAGAAATGCAACTGGTAAAGCATTCGCTGGCATGGACATGAAGTTTTAGAGGAAACAAAATATTGCCTCATTTCCAGTGTGGTGGTGTAGTTAAGAGAATGGAACTGGGATTCAGGCAACCTGGGTTCCAGTCCCCACTCAGTCATGAAGCCAAATGGGCCATGACTTTGGGCCATGTGAGGTAGACTATCAGCCCAACCTACCTCACATGGCTGTTGTTGTGGGGCTAAGATTGAGAGCAGGAAGAGAGATTTATATAAGCTGTTTTGAGTCCTTTAAAAATGAAAAAGGTGGGATGGAACTCTAATAAAATAAATTTCTGCTGGTCCTAAATTTGTTTAAAGAACATGAGCTCTGCCTTTTGACACTGGCACCCACAGAAACAGAGTACAATACTGCACCAAACAGGAACGTTAAAATGTGGTCAATAAACACCTTATCTGTATTAAGCAGGCCTGAATATGACAGCCTGGATTAAAGTATTTCACCATGTGGTAACTTCATCATTGCAATAAGTTACTGCTTGATAAAATGGCCACAACGATTACTCACGGTGTGTTTACAGGTACAACAAACGAGTGATTTCTTTCTACTGCCTCTAGCTCTGTATGGTGGTGTTGATGGTCCCCCCAACATTGCTAAATGCGCCCCTCCACACCCCCATGAGTTTTGAGAAACTTGATGAAATAGAATCAATTGAAAGCATACTTCTACAAAGTGATGCTGGGATGCAGATGTGCCAAAGAACAGAAAGGAAATGGCTTTAGATACACCCCCTCTACTACAAGTCTTAAAAACTTCCCAGAACTGAGCAGCTTATCAATTTCAATCTGTGTCATATTGGGCTGCCTGGCCTGGGGTTGGCACCCAGGGAAGGTAGACCTCTTTGGGCTGGAGAAGCAGGATTGCATGCCATTGCCAGCATCATGCCTGATCACTTCTGACACTGGCAAGACAAGAGTGCTACTGTCAGCTCCCACCTGCAAAGATCACACAAGGCGTTTAGAAACGGCAACACATCAGCAACGTATAGGACACATCAGCAACGTACAGGCTCAACGTATGAGCAACCTGAGAAGGTAGCGTGTGACATGGATTGTTCTAGGGGTCTGGAATGGTTTGGAAGCCATCTCTACTGGGTTTCACAAGCACAGCTACCTGCACCTGGTGTGGGCAATTATGCAAATGAGGCAGCAGGCAACCCAGAGCATGCTGCCAAGGCTTCTTTTTTCCCCCAATGATGTGAACTCAGTCACTGTGCATTTGCAGAAATTAGTGAGAAGATAGTTGAATGCCAGAAAAACATGCTAATGCATATGCACCCACTCCCTCCAGCATTCCTAAACAAAAAGTAGGGGCATTTTTTCTGTATCTGGGATACTCCTGCTCTCACTGCTGGAAACCTTCCCACCAACTTATTACACATTGCTAGAAGCTCATCTGCAGTCTATATTCATTTGCTCAGCAGAAACTTGTTCTCTGCTGATTGCTTGCACTTTCTCTATTTTTAAACAAAAGATAAACATTCAATCATATGTTATGAACACTTTGGAACTAAACCTCACCAGCTGAAGCATGTGTGAATTCTCAGGCTCTGCATTTCACTATACTGTAATGTTTATGCTCCTGCATCTTGTCTCCAGTTTGTTTCCATCCTCCAGTTTGTTGCCCCACCAGCTGAAACTTACAGAAACTTGCAGCAAGATGAAGAAGATATACCTTCATCAGGTACACCCAAAAAGGGCAAAACAGAAGACAATGGAGAATTAGGTCCCTGAATCATACATTAAAAAAAAAAAAGAAGAAGAAGTGCTGGGAAGTAAGGACAAATGAGAAACTGTGTGTAAACCATTCTATAAGGTCAACTGCAACACCGGGCCAAGTTTTTGTTTGCTTGTTTTGCTTTTGCTGGGGAGTGAGAGATTTTGCTATTAATGATCTTCCCCCAACGTGCAGACCCATGCATAGCAAAGCTCCTTCCTTGTTCAAGTTTAGCTCTACTTTTTTCTAAGAGCTGAGGGTAGAGGGAAAGACCAGGCATCCCACCTTAAGTGAGCAGGCATGTTATTAGACTGCAAGCTTCCAACACGCTACTTGCACACACACGGTGGCAAGAAAGCTCCTCGCTACCCCCCCCCCTTCCCGTCTCCCCGGTGCAAGCGCAATCTTCACGGGCACCTTCCTCCTCCCCCAACGGTGCGTGGCACGCTCGTCTTCCCGAGCGCATCCCAGCCGCCACCGCCACACTGATCACGCGCGGCTGCAGTCCCGGCGGCTCGACTCCCCCCCGCCGAAGGCCGCGCCGGGCTAGCAGCAGCAGCAGCCGCCGCCCCTGAACCGGGGTGACCTTGGCCCACGTTCCAGGCATTCCTGGGCTCGCTCGCGCGCGCGCGCCGGAATTGCCAGCGGTCACCAGCAAGAGCCGCCGGCGGCCCCTTCCCCACCCAGCGCGCCCCTCCGGTCCCGTGTGCGTGTCGGAGGAGCTGCCCTGCCCATTTCTGATGCGGCGCCAGAACAAGAGTCGAGGCGGCAAGGAAACGAAAACAAACATGGAAGCCCCTTTCCTGACGGGCCACGTGGAGACCGCGCGCAGACGCGGGCGCCGGGCCTCTCCTGGCACTTATTTTCTCTTGCAGCTCCGCACGTTAAGCCCCGCGTGAAGCGGTGGCACAGCGCGCCAAGCCGCTCCAGCGGCCCTCAAGAGTTTTGCCGTCTCGCGAACGCCTCCCCACTTCCAACTTCAGCCGCTGACTCGCATGAGCCGCGGCCCTCTTTTCACGTGCGCGCAAAAACACGCTTTCCGCGCCCGCCCACGTCGGGTCTTCCCCGCTTAACTCCGCCCCCCAGCCGCACCCCCGTGCTCCAGCCCGTCAGCCGCAGCGTGCGCGCTCCTCACCCGCGCCACCTGTAAGCAAGCCCGGCAAGAGAGCTGTGGATTGCGGCAGCAGGCCAAACCAACCTGCCGGCGTGCCTGTCTTTGCCATGCATACACATGCACAGACACACAGCCTTCGGGAAAGCATGCGTGGGTGGAGGCCTGAGAAGGATCACGGCTTGCCCTCCCTCCTCCGCCCTTGTCCATGTATGTTTTCTCGGCTTGGAAGACCCCACCCAGCGTCTTTTTTGCTTCATTCCTACGCGGGTTGCGCGGGAGTGAGTAGTCGGATTAAACTCGGCGAGACTTGCTTGCATGGAACTTTTGCAGGCAGCAGCCGCTCCCCCAGGGAATGCCCCTCCGCCCCCTCGCCTAATCCCAGCCGTTCCTCGGCGTTCCAGTAGCCAGCGTCCTGTCGGCGCGCCTCTTTTTGGGCTCGCTCCCGCTTCAGCCTCCGGGAAGCTCCTCTTCCCGCCCAGCCCCTCAGGAGACAGCGCTTTGCTTTCGGGTCATTCCCGCAAGCGCGGCTTGCTCTGCGCGGCTGGCGCGCGGTCGGGCTGCTTGCGGGGCGCGCGGAGCAGGACTTACTTGACTGCGAGATGCCGGAGGCGGGGGACTCTCTGCAAAGAGCGGCGAGGCAGTAGCTCCAGACACACAGAGCTACTAGCAGCGCTCTCTTGCCCATTGCTCGGCACGCGGTGCACGCCCTTGGACGAAGCTGAGCGAGTGCGGGGTGGCGGGCGGGTCGGGGCAAAAGCGCTCTCCCAAAACGCCAAGTGCAAAACGTTTCTTGAGCTGCACGAGCAGAACGGCGATAACCTCGCACCAACCGCCACCGCGCTTGCTTCGCCCCGGAGGCGCCTAAACTTATCAGAATGGAAATATGCAAATGAGGCTCAGCACCTATTGGCTCGAAGCGTCCCGAGTGGGCGGAGGAGGGGCTCGGCCCGACTCCTTCGCAATGGTTCGAGGAAACCGGCGGGCGGAGGGGGGGGGCGGGTGCGCGTGGCGCGGTTCACGGGGTGGATTCTATAGGTTGCGCTTCACGCCCAGCGTTTCTGCTCCGCGGCTTTTGCTTGGCAAGGAGGGGGCGAGGAAGCGGGAGCAGGAATGCGTGGCACATTCCTTGTCAGGTCTGCGGCTCGCTCGGCGTTGGTTCGGGGACGTGGTGAAAACGACCTTGCGTGCGATGGCGTTCGATCATAGGTGGGAAGCATGCGGCTCCCCAGCTGTCTTTGTACTCCACCTGCCGATGTATGTTACTTAGGCATATTAGCGTAGGTTGATCGGAGTTGCAGTACAACTTTTCGGGGGAGGGCAGACAATAATGGTGGGAGTTGTAGGACTTTCTCCTGTCTAGGCTTGGCATGATGCCCTTTACATGCCCAACTATGAAACCTTGAATTCTGACTCAGGGTGGAGAGACTGATCTCTCAACTTGGGGTCAGATGTGGGAGATCCGGGTGTGGATTTCTCTTTCCTCCGAATTTGGGCGTAGCAGCTGGACAAAGCTGGTTAGTTCCTGATTCCTTTGAAGCTGACTTCGCCAAAACATTCCTGTGCATGGCTTGTGCTGCAATGTCCCTCGGGGTTTCATGCAACTTTAACAAAATTAGGATGGAGGGGTGGATCTCTTTGTTGGCTGCCTCGATTGCCCTTTTGGGGTGGGAAGGTAGGTTAAATTAATTTATTAAAAGTAATAATAACCTCCAAGTAAGCGCACACAGGATTGCAGCCTAGTTATTATTGGATTACATTTATATCCCACCCTTTTTCCTCTTACAACAAAATTGTACATGGCTCTCCCTCTTGTTGTTCCTGTTCACAACAGCCCCATGAGGTAGGCTAGGCTGAGAGTTCATGACTGGCCTAAAGTCACCCAATGAGACCATTGCTGAGTAGGGACTAGAATCCAGGTCTCACAGGTCCCCAGTCCGACACGTCACTGCTAGGCTTTTATCCTCTTCGTATGGGAACAAATACAGGGACCTGTGTCAGGTTCAGACTGCATGCAACTTAAGCAATGGGTGTGTGTTGATTATTTGAGCTGCTGTCAGTCACTCCAATCTCCTGTGTCAACAGGAAGCCAACAGACAGAAGTTCAGCATCCTAATTCCTTTCCTCTGTGTGTTTTCCTCACCTCTTAAATTGCTTTAGCCCACAAGAAGGAAAAATGCACATCTTCCAGCCTCACTCATTTTTCTCAAAGGTTCCAAGTGCATTTTCCATTTTCCATTGCACTGCAATATATATCTGAAAATGGTCCCTGTTGGGCTAATGCAACCCCAGTTTTCTTGCTCTGGAATACAATCCAGCAATCCATTTCATTTCAGGTGAAATATGAAGGCAACTTAATGTAAAATTGAGTTTTTCTTTTTCTTCCAGCAAATGTTTGTGGAGGAGGATAATAGGTTGCTATTTTCTCAAAGGGGAATCTTAAATGAAGAAACTGAAATGATCGGGGCTTTCTCCTGTTACAGACCCTGCTTTGAATGTCGTGAGTGCTTCCCGGCTGAAGCTAACCAGATCTGGGCTGGGTCAGTATTTGAATGGAAGGCCATTTGGGAGTATGATATTTACCTCCTCAAGTTGCATGGCAGCAGCTCTGAGTACATATATAAAATTGGAATGCAATCCTATGCATGTTTGGAGAGAAACAAGCCTTACAGCGCTCAGTATTCACCAGCCAAGCGCTAATTGCTAAAACTTCAACACGATTAAGGTCTCAACTACACAATGGCAATGGCAACTGGGAAATGTAGCAATGCAAATAAATCTACTATGTGACTTCAGTAATAGCAGGTCAGCACTTGTGAATCTGGAGATCAATCATGTCATACCTCCACCCAAACATCTGGGAAAGAGCACTGCAACTAATTTCATCTCATCACATAGGCTAAGCTCACTTCTGCAGCAGGTGCGATTCAAGCATCCTCCAGATGTGCCTTCACAGTGTTCAGTATCTAGACATTGCTATAGCGTAGGAATGATTACGAAAATGGGTTACAGCAGTTATTAACCTGTTCGTTATGGGTACAGAATTTGTCATTTAAAAACAATTTAAATTAGTCTGAAGTTTACACCATCCTTAGGACTCTGCTGAAGTAACAGTTTAAAATTGATACACTGATTCACTCTATATTATTAAGCCAACATATATACTTTATTTAGGGCATTTCACACCTGGCACTACTAGAAAATTTCTTCAGCCATGCATATATTATTTTTCTTGTTAATAAAGATCAAAAATCAAAGAATAATTACTTTAAAATATTAACATCGAGTTGGAACAGTTTGGCCATTTTGGGCTTTAAATTCATACTGTGCATCAAAGAAATGCTAAACTTGTATGCTCTAAGAAGAAAATACCTTAACACCCCATTCATCTTTTCAAATATTTTACCATAGTCACAAAAAAGAAACCAATAATCAAAAATCCTCAAGAGCGTTCCTGGTCTAACCCTGCCTCTTTGGCATGTTTTTCAAGGTCAGCACATTAGCTGGTACCCATCCTGCTTGAGCAATCCTGGAAGCTGGACCAAATGCGGTACTCAGTGGACTTTTTGGGTGACCCAGCATGGCTTGCCCATGGCTATGTCTACCTTCTAAAGTACTTGTGTGCAGGGTAAGAATTTTCTTTGCTGATGGCTGCTTTCCCATGAACATAATTTATCAGGGACAACATGTGAGAGCCAGTGTGGCGTAGTGGTTAAGAGCGTGGGACTGGGACTCAGACGATCGGGATTCTAGTCCCCGCTCAGCCATGGAGCAACTGGGTGACTTTGGGCCAGTCACAGACTCTCAGCCCAACCTACCTCACAGGGTCATTGTTGTGGGGATAAGATGGAGGAGGAGAATGATGTAAGCTGCCTTGAGCCCTTTGCAGGAAAAAGGCAGGATATAAATCCATAAATAATAAATAAACATATTGATATGGGGTGGGACCAAAGCCAGCAACAGACCAGATGCTACCTTTTCCCTCTCCTTCTGCGTCTCCCTTCTTTCTCTCTTTTTCTCTGTCTCTCCCAGGCTTCCTACCCTGCAGACTGCAGAAGGGACAAATTCCTTTTGCCAGGGTGCTGGAGAAGTTGTTTGCCCAGAGTTTTTGTAATCAGGCCAAGTGCAACAGGCCAACTCCCCCTGTTCTAAGCAGAAGTCTCTACTTACCTGGGTCTCAGTCCAATGGCCTCAGAGTTATAGCACCATAATAAATGCTTGGAAATAGAAGTGATCATGTCAGATCCCGCAAAAGTGAACAGCATTCACTATCCAAACCTCCAGCTTTCTAGCTCCACATCTACTGATTCAGTCCACTGGCCTTTACTTAGCACTGGTTAGGCCTCATCTGGAGTACTGTGTCCAGTTCTGGGCACCACAGTTTAAGAAGGATGCAGACAAACTGGAAAAGGCTCAGAGGAGGGCAACGAGGATGATCCAGAGACCAGAGACAAAGTCCTGTGAGAAGAGAACTGGGATTGTTTAGCCTCTAGAAGAGAAGACTGAGGGGAAATATGATAGTGCTTCTCAGGTACTTGAAAGGCTGTCACATAGAGGAAGGGCAGGATCTTTTCTCAGTCATCCCAGAGTGCAGGACATGGAATAACAGGCTTAAGTTACAGGAAACCAAATTCTGGCTGAACGTCAGTAAGAATTTCCTGATTAAAGCAGCATGACAATGGAACCAATAAGAGGTTGTGGGCTGTCCCACACTGGAGCTGTTCAGCATGCAGCTGGACAGCCAACTGAGAGGGAAGGTTTAACTGGGAGTCCTACGCTGAGCCGTGGTTTGGACCCAATGGCCTTCTGCCCCCTTCCAACTCTTCTATGACTAACGCTGAGAGCCCACTGAGAAGCAATCCTTAGCAAAGGTAAACAAACAAAAATGGCTGGTGAATTACATCTTGGCCAACTTAAATCCTATAGTTGGTTGAAGTGCATGGGAAGGGACTTCACCCAAATGTTTTCCCATGTGATTCTTTTTTCCAGCTGCTGCCATGTCTATGCTGAAACAATAGGACGCAGACAGGTATGACTCAGTGGGAAGTAATCAGGGACTTCCATGCCCAAAATAGTTGTGTTCCCCTTCCTTCCTCAATGATCAGAGCAATGGTTTCCCATGAGGATGGTTTGTGCCAAGAATGTGTACCGGACCAGTTCTTATTTAATAGCAGAGCAATTATTTTCATGGAGGTCTCTGCGAAAATGAGGTCCATAAAGTCTCCATGAAAATTAGGGGCTATAGCTCCATGGTGGAAGGTCATAGGTCCCAGGTCCTGTTCCTGCCATCGCCTGGTAAACTTGCTGGGAACTCTGGGGAATGGCTGCAAGTCAAAACTGTTCCTACTGGGGAAGATGGGCCAGCTAAGGTCAAGGCAGCTTCCTATGTTTCCAAAGAGCTTCCTTCTCTAAAGAGTTGCCCTTTGTGCAGACATGAAACCCCCAGAAACAACTGAGCCACTAGAACCAGGATATCAGTTGTGCAGCAAGAAGCTGTCAAAACAACCTCCCCTGTTCCAGAGTCTCAGTCCTAAGGACACATGTTGCGTGTTGAACATCAAATACTGGATTCTTCCCACTGGCCCAGCTGTCATGAGGGACCACCACTATTCCCTCTGCTCAGTCAGGATCTGGTTGGTGCTCCACCAGCTGTAAAAATCTGTCCAAATATCAGCTCCAAGGTCAAGTCAGGTCTAGGTTGTACAACATCCATATTAAAGGCACAGGAATATAATGAAAAGACTGAAGAAACCTGGTATCTAGAAGAAATAAGATAACTCTCTAACAGATTGTCCACAGACCTGTCAAGGACAACCCTGACTTCATAG